TTCAGCGAAAAGCTTTGTCCCACGTGCCAATGTTGGTCGGCTTATGAACAGGAATTATATTTCGTGGTTCGTGCACTCAAACAGTGGGAACCTTACCTCTTACACCAAGATTTTGTCATCTGCACCGACAATAAATGCCTCCAATTCATCAACAGCCAAAAGCATGTCAATAGGATGCATGCCCGGTGGGTTTCTTTCCTCCAAAAGTTTTCCTTTGTTCTCAAACACCAGCCGGGTCACCAGAATAAGATTGTGGACGCACTCAGTCGAAAAATGGCTCTATTGAGCCAACTCCAAACCGAATTCTCTGGGCTAGTTTGTTTACAGGAACTGTATGCTACCGATCCTGAGTTCTCGGCAATTTGGCATGCATGCTTACAGCCAGAGGGTGCTCCAGACTTTACCATCCGCCATGGTTTCCTGTTCCACCAAAATTTGCTCTGTATCCCGGCTTCGTCGTGGCACTTACACTTGATTCATGAAGCACATTGCGGGGGTCTCGCAGCCATGCGGGACGCGAAAAAACCTTGGCACAACTCAAATGCAGATTCTTTTGGCCGAGACTCTGGCGTGATGTCCTGCTGTTCGTCGACCGCTGCCCAGTATGCCAAAGCTATAAAGGCGGTGCCCAAAACACCGGTCTCTACCTACCACTACCAGTTCTGGATACAATATCGGAGGATCTGAGCTTAGACTTCGTACTTGGCCTTCCCCGCACGCAAAGAGGCAATGACTCCATCATGGTCGTCGTCGACCGATTTTCCAAAATGGCACACTTCCTTGCGTGTAAAAAATCCTCGAATGATCTTCATGTTGCTCACCTTTTTTTCACCAAATTGTTAGGTTGCATGGGGTGCCGCGAAGGCTCACTTCGGACAGAGATGTAAAATTCATAAGCCATTTCTGGCGGGAACTGTGGAAACGTCTGGGTACAGATTTACGCCTGAGCTCCGCATACCATCCCCAGACAGATGGACAAACTGAAGTGGTTAACCGCACCTTGGGTAACATGCTTCGCTGTTTGGTACAAGATACCCCTTGTAACATCAATCTGCTCCAGGAACTGTTTTTGCTCCAGGATCGTCCGGGCCGATCATGGATCGTCCCGGGACGATCAATGTAAAAGACTCGGTACAGCTCGGTACAGAAACCCAGGAAGTGTTTTTGCTCCAGTATCGGCCGGGCCGATATGGGCATCGTCCCAGGCCGCTCAGTTCAGGGCAAAAGTCAGAGAGTAGAGGTTTTTATCGTCCAAGAAAAATTAATTATCGGCCTGAAAAATTATCCCAGGACGAAATTATTTGTTCTGATTGTCCAGGCTGATAGGGTCATCGTCCCGGGACGATCTGTTCATGGCACAAGACAGAGAGCAAGGGTTTTGATCGTCCAAGAAAAAGTAAAGATCGTCCTGGAAATTTGTCCTGGACGATGCTATTTTGGTCACATCGGCCGGGCCGATATGGGCGATCGGCCGGGCCGATCTCAAGGTTACTTAAGAGAAAAGGATTCATTTTGAGGAGAGAGAAAAAAATTAAAATCAGATTTTTCATCCGAGGAGAGAGAAGGAAAAGAGAAAAGTTGATTTCGGGACAACGCGGGACCATTTTCGTTCGTTCTGACAGTTCAGTAAATTGCTGTACGCAAGGTAAGGCACAATCCGACTTTCTCAATTTTCAGAACCGTCGAGTTTGGCGGTATTTTCTGTCCGGAATTTGTTTTTGTTGACGAATTTTGTCCGTATTTTCCGTCTGGTTCAGTTTTTACCGCGTAATTTTCTGTATGTTGTTGACGTGCCGAGTGTGCACATTTTGAATATTTTCTGGAGATTTTTGTCCGGACCGTTTTGATTTAGCAGCGTTTTTCGTCGACTGTAATTTTTTGTGTTGTCTGAATTTGTCTGGGCAGTAGAATAAAAGTATTGAAATGTTATTCTGTATATTCTGTGCGAATTTGGTAAATTTTGATTTGCAGGAAAAATTGTGTAATTTCCGTATACTGCCCTTGTGCTGCCGAATTTTATACGATTTCTGAAATTGTCCGGATTTATTCTGAATTGATATACTATGTTTGTGTGCTATAAATAGGGAGTTATAAGGGGCCAGGATCCTAAGAGATCCTGTTAGTGTCAGGGAAATCTGAAATGAGCTCAATCTGAAAATCAGTTCTGTTCCGAATCCGATGAATCTGTTCTGGTGCTATAAGCACATCTGTTCTGGTGCCGTGAGCACAAAGGGAGGCATAAGGGGCCAGAATCCGTAGAGATTCTGTCAGTGTCTGGGAAGGGAGGCATAAGGGGCCAGAATCCGTAGAGATTCTGTCAGTGTTAGGGAATTAGATATAAAATTAATTTGCTCTGAATTATTCTGATTTCTGTACGATTTTGATATGATTTCTGATTTTGTCAGTTCTGTTCTGTGATTCTGTACTATTTTGTCTGTTCGGATGTGATTTCTGATATGAAATGATCTAATGATTCTGATTTCTGATTTCTGATTCTGTCCGTATCTATTATGTCAGTACTTCTGAATGCGACTCTGTTTTGATTTGACACGTTCTGTTCTGATCTGATTCGTTCTGTCTGATTTGGTTTTGATTTTTGTACGGTTTTGGATTCTGAGGATTTTGATTGGAGGTTTGATGTCTTGCTGAGCTGTTGAGCTCACCCTTGTTTTCTGCGTGGTTTTCAGGTTCTGGGAAAGGGAAGGAAGTTCTGGAGTAGAGTTCCAGCGTCTGATCAGTTGTAGGTACTTTTGTACTTCTTGATTTTTGTACAGTCATGAATTTTTTGCTTTGTTTCTTTCTGTCAGCCATGTACTGTATTTGTATATGATTATTTTGAGGAAGAAAAAGATAGATGATTTGTTCCGCTGCATTTGATGTTTTTAGTAGCTCTGTGTGTCTGTTCTGTGTGTAATGTTTGGAAGAAAAGTTCCGAAGCAAATTCCAAAGCCAGATCCTGGAATGTCTGATAGGTTTGGCCGCGGCCCGTTGCGAGCGGGATCCGTCCCGGGTCGGGTTGGGTCGATACACCCCTAAGCAATGGGAAGAAATGTTGAGCACGGCTAAGTTTGCTTATAATTCCATGGTCAACAGATCAACGGGAAAGCCTCCGTTTAACATAGTTTACACCAAGGTGCCTAATCTGGCATTGAACGTGGCTGTTTTGCCCAAGTGCAGGTCCGAAATGGCTACCAAGTTCACTACCAAGTATTCGGACATGCTGAAGGACGTCCGAAAGAAACTTCATCAGTCCAACCAGTCTTACAAGGCTTATAAAGACCTCCGTCGCCGTGAAAAACTCTTTCACGTTGGTGATCTAGTCATGGTGCGTTTACGCCGCGAACGGTTCCCGCCGGGCACTTACTCCAAACTCAGTCGACGGAAAATAGGACCATTCCCAATCACTACCAAGATTAACGACAACGCCTACATTGCCAATTTGCCAGCAAGCTACAACACTTCGTCACTTTCAATGTATATGATATTTGGCCTTATCACCCTCCAGACAGCGCCCCGACCTCCATTAGCTCGTCCGAGTCGAGCTCTCCAAATGCAGGGGAGGACTGATGCAGTGCATACTTAGGCCTTGATACAATTATCTTCGTTTTCTGCATTCTCCACTAGTCTGCCAAGTTTGCTATTCTAGTCCTTTTTACCTTTTTACTTCATACCCCATTTATAGTATAGGGAATATTCCAGATAGTAGAAAATTACAGTATACTTATAGGTAGTAGAATGTAGTAGGAGGACAGTTTTTGTTGATATACCAAAATACCATTACCCTGGGAAGAGCTTCTTTCGGTTTTACTTGTTTTCTTGTGAGTTTCTCTGTTTCAGGTACCGTTGCTGGAGTCATCTGCAACCTTCGATCGAGGGGCTTCGTCAAGAAGTTTATAAGATATTGTCTTGCATGTCAGAACTTTAAAACCTTATTCGCTTAATTCAATGCATGTCATAATTAAAGGTTTGATTTTTTTCTCATTCTACCTTAAAATCTTATAGTAGCTACACATAAATATTTGCTTTAAGAACTCCATTAAGAATGCCGACATAACATACAGTTGATAGATAGATTTTTCCCTTCACTTCTTTCTGCTTCATGAAAATCAATATTTAATTGGCTTATACTCCATCAATTTAACTTGATTTTATAAATCTCATTACTTCAATCACTTTGTCTTTGTCATGTAGATGATCAACCAAACGTCTTCTGTTTTTCTCACATAATATAGGTTTTGTTTGCGACAGCTTTATAAATTAACTTTTTTATTTCAAAATTTTTTTGAACTAGAAATTTGTGTACTAGAAAACTACTTTAATAAGCAGTATGAATTTTTTTGAGGAAGTTGAATCTTCTTGGATGAGAGAGGGGGAGGGGGAAGAGAGGGAGAGAGAGCTAACGGGAAATTTTCTTTAATCCTCTTTCATGAGCTTCCAATCTCCATTGCAACCCCTCTATTTATAGAAGAATGAATCTACTAAGACAACAAGGTCCTAAGGAACAAATAATCTAAAACTGGACGAATACCTAACAAAAAGCCATAGTTTCTTCCTTCAATATTTTAATCAATTCTCTTATTCTATTGTTTCTTCAAGGCTTCAATGACATAAAAATTAAAAGTTTCATAAATATCACCTGAAGTTCACGTACTTAGAGAGAAGACACAATATTCACTTCACATCTTAGATCTACTATTTGAACAATTCAAGAATAAATTAGAGAAAAAATAATTGCCAGCCCGACCAATGCCTTATCATAAGTAAGTCAAAGTAAAATTAGGATCATAAATGCTTCAGTCTGTAAGTGTAAATGCAATGAACCAAAGAGCCGTACCGTATCCAACAATGTCAGGCAAAATTTTAAAAATAGCTTTGTGTTAAAATAGAATTTAATTGAGTAATGATATATATACCGTTAGATCCATTAATTGGTGCGGCGACCCGGATGAAGAGATCCTGCTGCCTGTTGTCCGCGGAGGATCTGAGATCTTTAATCTCCGTCATCCAAATCCACCCCCGCCACTCAGATAAACGCTCGCATAAGCCCTACAGGAGAAATTCATCAAACACCTTCTTTTACACTCATCCAAGCCCAAGCTCATATTCGCCACCGCCTCCGTCGTATCCAGCAGCGTCGTGCCGCGCACCACCAAGAACTCGTCGGATTCGTTCTCGCTGCAGCCAAGCGCTGCCCCCCTAACGCACCCATCAGACCTATTTCTCCTGCTCCAACTCACCAGATTCTTGGGATTAAATCCACCAAGACACTGGCACATCGGTGAGCTGCTGGAGTCGCAGATGGCATTGGTTCCGCATGCCGGAAAGAAGTCGCAAGGGTCGCTAGGTGCGAACCACAAAAGATTCCACTTCTGAGACGATGCTTTCCATAGGTATATATTGACTACCCATTTTTGATCCATGGTCAATGTAGAAATGGTGCCACCGATCGTGTTGTAGTAGTAAAAAATCTCCTCCGAAGTGGAGTGGAAGCCTTGGCTGAAGTCTCGGTAGAGGTCGATGGAGAATAATCTTCTAGAGAAGACACCGGTGAAGGCGTAGCCGTTCCATGGCCCGCCACGCCGGATCCACGCACCTGCCAGAGAGATCGCGGATGACCAGCTGGGGAACGCCAATGGTGTCAATCACTAAGGAATATTTACCCGGAGATGGATCGGAGTTGCTCAGCCACGACATGAGATTCCGATCGAGGATGATTTTCAGTTCCGGGCCAAGCTTCATCCCGGAGAGCAAGATGTCGGTCGGGTAATCAAAATTCTGCCATAAGTCGGAGCTGGAATTCGAAGCTCTGATGACCAAATTACCGGTGTCGAGAAGTTGAGCGACGGGATTGGGGGTGGAATTGGGGAAGGAAGGGGAAGACCAAAGAGGAGTGGAGTTACCAGTAGTTATGAGATGGAGAGATGCGTCGTCGGTGATGATTGACAGTGTTGCGTTGATATTGTGAATGGGATTCCGACGATTGGCAACCCAGACGACGGTTTGAATTGCGAGATTGCGTTACCAAATGCCTATATAGCTGTTGGTGGTGTTTGGAGGGGTGAAGAAGCCGAACGCAAAGGTTCCGTTTGCGGAGATGAGGGTTTCTCCATAGGAGAGTGGATGAGATGGAGTAAGGATGTCTGTGGCGAAGGAGATGGAGAAGTAGAAGAAGGTGAAGAAGAGGATGATTACAAGGTTCGGAAAGATCGGCTCTCTCCTCATCTCCAAGTTTTCCGAATGCTTCCAAATCCACAGATCGTATAAATAAAGTTTGAATCATAGAAAAATTGACTAATCTACGATCATAAATTCCCCGTAACTGATCGGCTCTCTCATCATTTGTGTGGAAATAATAATTAATAATGCCAGCACGACTGATTCAGATTTGTTCAAGCATAAATGAATCAATGCGTAAGTATCAGTAGCTCAATGCAATAAATTGGGATAAAGCTGATCAACAATGGCGGAACTAAATTAAAATATCTTCACCGTTTTGGTCTTCCCTATTAGCTCATATTTCTATCTTTCCTGCTCAAGCAAAAACAACAATATTATTAACTTTTTTTTTGTTTTATTTGTTTTGGAATGGTGCTTGGCGGCGTGACTAATCATCGGCTAACCTAAAAGAAGCACCACCTCAAAAACCTCCTGGACCGCACTTGATTGTAGGGGTGTCAATTTCGGGTCACGGGTCGGGTTCGGGTCAAACACTATTCTGGTTCGGGTCGATCCGACCCGTTTTTACAAATGCACTTCAGCCACACTTCACTGAAATCTGCATCATCATGGTACATTTCCTGTAAGCATTCGAGGCCCAAAAACTCTGTTTGGAGTTGAGTAATCAATGCCGCCCTGCGGCTCAATGCGTCGGCGACCCTGTTCTGCTTGCCGCTCTTATGCTTCAATACAAAAGTGAATTTCTGCAAAAACAATACCCATCTGGCATGCATTCTGCTGATGTTTTTCTGTGTATTGATGTATTGTAAGGCTTTGTGGTCACTATGCAAAACAAAATCTTGTTGGAGGAGATAGTGTTCCCATTGTTTTAAGGCTCTGACGACTGCATATAACTCTTGTTCGTACACCGTCCATCGTTGCCTCGGAGAGCTTAGTTTCTCGCTGAAAAATTCGATCGGCTTGTCTTCTTGCGATAGCACGGCGCCAACTCCCACGGACGAAGCGTCGGTTTCCACAGCAAAAGGTTTTTCGAAATTTGGCAAGGCGAGAACTGGTGCCTTGGTTAATGCTTCTTTGATAATATTAAAACTTCTTTCATGCTCTTGCTCCCACAGGAACTTCTTCTGTTTTAGCAGCTCAGTTAACGGTGCCATTAAGATGCTAAATCCCTTAATAAATCTTCTATAAAAATTTGCCAACCCATGAAAACTTCTGATTTCAGTGAATGTAGTCGGAGTTGGCCAATCTTGAATGGCCTGAATTTTTCTGGGATCAGCACTGACTCCCTCAACCGAAATTCGGAAACCCAGAAATGTCACCATTCGAGTGGCAAATTCGCATTTTGACATATTTAAATACAGTTTGTGCTGTCTTAGTGTTTCCAAAATATCCTTCAAATGCTTCATGTGCTCTCCGAAACTTTTGCTGAACACCAAAATGTCGTCAAAATACGCCACGCAGCAGCGATTCAAAAAGGGCCTTAAGACTTCATTCATCACTCTCATGAATGTAGCCGGCGCATTACACAAACCGAATGGCATCACCTTCCATTCGTAGAGACCTTCCCTTGTTTTGAATGCCGTCTTCCATTCGTCTCCGGGTCGGATTCTGATCTGATGATAGCCGCTGCGAAGATCCAATTTAGAAAAGTAGGCTGAACCCGATAGCCTTTCTAACATCTCCTCAAACCTCGGCATAGGAAATCTGAATTTCACTGTGATCTTGTTGATGGCGCGACTGTCCATACACATCCTCCAGTTACCATCCTTCTTCGGTACCAATAGAACTGGCATGGCACATGGACTTAAGCTATGTTGAATAAACTTCTTCTCCAACAATTCATCGACGATTTGCTGAAGCACCTTGTTTTCATTCGGGCTAAGTTTGTAATGCGGCAGATTCGGCAATGATGCTCCCGGCGTGAGTTCTATTTGGTGTTGAATAGAACGCATTGGCGGCAATTCGGAGGGGTGATTTTCAGAGCACACATCAGAGAATTGTTCCAGAATTTGATTTACTTCTTCTGGACGGTCATTACTGGAATTAGAATCTGTCACTTCCTTCACTATTAAAGCTAACATGTTTGAAGTTTCTCTCCAAGCACTAATCATAGCCGCCGCTGATACAGAGTACAGTGCTGTTTAGCTCTTGGCTGATTTGTTTTCAGAACTCGAACTACCCGGTAATAAACGAAGCCGCCGCCCCTTCCAGTCAAATGCATAAGTATTAGCCCTGCAGTCATAAATTGCCCCTACGTCATATTTCCATGGCCTGCCCAAAATAAGGTGGCACACGTCCATATCCAGTACGTCGCACAGGACCTCACTCGAGTAGTGCTTGCCAATGGAAAATGAGACTCTGCATAAGTCCGTCACCGCCATCTCCATTCCTTTCTTAACCCAACTAATCTTGTATGGGTTAGGATTCTTAGTTGTTTTCAATTGCAAGGCTTGCACCATAGCACGCGAGACCACGTTTTCGGTACAACCACTGTCAACCAACAGGTCGCAAACTTTGCCGCTGACTGTACACTTAATCTTGAACAGAGCATTTCTTTGTGATACAGTTGATTGCTTCGGAGCAAGCAGCAATTTCTCCATTACACATACAAGATGCTCTCCCTCATCTCCCTCTACATCTTCATGCAACTCATCACACTCTGCATCCTTTTCTTCTACTTCATCATCGCCATCTGCGTCTATCATTTGGAGCTGAGGTCTTGTCGGACACTCATTTGATTTGTGGCACTGCTGAAAGCATCTAAAACATTTGATATTAGCTGGTTTGGCATATGGATTATCCTTAGCTTGTGCTCGCCCCCGTGCTAATCCCCTTTGCTCCACATTTTTATTGATAGCTCCAATGGGGTCGCTAGCACTTGGAGACACATTTTGCTGCTTATTGATTTGTGGAGTGACAACACTATTTGGTCGGCTGTTCTCCGCCATAACCTCTGGATTCCGCCTATAATGTCCTCCTTTGTTAGGCCGCGACAGTTGCATTTCTATCTTTAATGCGTAATTGACTGCTTGAGACAACGACCACACATCATTCAGCACTAACTTATCCTGAATCGTCTCCTTCAAACCGCCAATAAATCTAGCCACCATCTGATTAGCCGTTTCATTTAAATTATTACGGGCGCTCAACCGATAAAACTCCTCAGTATACTCATTAACTGATCTATTGCCCTGAACACAATATTGCTGATATTGCACATACAACATTTGTTCATAGTCGGTTGGTAGGTACTGTCCCCGCAATAATTGTTTCATTCGATGCCAGCTCCTCACCTGACCCCGTCCCTCTCTACGCCGAGACTGTATCAGCTGCTGCCACCATGCGCCCGCCCCTCCTTTGAGACGGCAAGCGACATATTTCACCTGCCTTTCTGGCTCAATATCCATATATTCAAAGAACGTTTCCACTGTTCTTTCCCAATCCAAGAAATCCTCAATGTGTAGCCTGCCATCAAAATACGGAATGTCCAGTTTTACCTTGAACTCACCGTGTGATCTGCCAGTTCCTCTCGGACGCCTCCGCTGCCTATAGCCCATTTCCTCTTCTGACTCGGAAATGTCCAAATTCCTGAAACGGTCGAGTTCTTCCTCCGAATCTGAAGCCCCCACAATCTGCGACCCTCTTTGCCGCGGGTGCTCGTTCTCGACCGCACGCCTGTTTCCCGGTCCCTGATTGAATGCTGTGCGTGGGTTTTGAAGGCGGTCAAGCTTTGCATTGATTTCTCTCATTTCCTGCCGCAACTCGCCATACAGACGGTGCATCTCAGCAGCAAGTCGTTGCCGCTCAAGAGTAATCTAGCACGGGTTAGAGGGTTCCCAACCGTACTTACTCACGAATTAAAATAAGCATAAGTGGATTATTAAGGCCTGAGGCTTCCATCCAAGTAATACATCCATTTCCTCCGCTGCTAATGATGTAGGCACCTGTGATCAGATTAGCAAAGACAGCAAGAAAATAATAGAACAGTACCTTGTTCTAAGAAGAAGATGAACTTCAGCGTTTCCAAAGTAAAGAGCTAAAAACTAAAAAACTATCCCTGAGCCTTTGCAAAAGATAAGCAAAAGGCATTCCAGCTTCCTAACTGAAAAAGGACTAAAAGCAAAAAGGTTTCATTCCTCTACTCAAGTGCTAACTAACTAAAAGCAGTAAAAGGGAATAAGGAGTTCGTTTCCACTAACAAACGACCCAGCCAGAACGTCCCAGGAGACTAATTGTTCCGCGGTCCAGCTTCCTTAAGATGCTCCGCATCATTCTCCTCTGGTGTGAAAATGTTTTTGCCTGTAACGGTGGTGTCTCCGTCTGCCCCCTCTGGTGGATAGTAAGGAAATATGTCTGCTACATTGAATGTGTGAGAAGTGTTGAATTCAGCCGGTAAATCATCAACATAAGCGTTATTGTTGATCTTGTGGGTTACAGCAAACGGCCCGAACTTTTTGCGGCTGAGCTTAGAATAAGATCCACTGGGTAGTCGCTCTCGTCGCAGACGCACAAGAACCAAATCACCTGGTTTGTAGATTTTCTCCCTGCGGTGAGTATCAGCTTGCTCCTTGTATTTGCTATTGGATTGTTGCAGTTGTAGCCGCACCTTAGTTAGCATATCAGTAAATTGCTCCGCCAAATTGGAAGCAGCTTTGTTGTGACATTTTGGAAGGACTGCAATTGTCACGACCCGACCCGAGACGAGACGGATCCCGTTCGCACCGGGCCGCGACGAGGATAGCTAACCAGGATCTAGCTTTGGAATTTGGTTCGAAACTGAATCTTCCAAATGATTAACTCAACAGAAGCACACAGAACAACAGAGCTACTAAAAACATCAAATGCAGCAGAACAAAACATATATCTTTTCATTTCCTCAAAATAATCATCTACAGAACAGTACATGGCTTTCAACAGAAAGAAAGACAGAACAGAAAAGCCATGACTGTACAAAAATCAAAAGTACAAAAGTACCTAATCTGATCAGACTCTGAAATCTAGTCCTGAACTTCCTTGCCCTTCCCAGAACCTGAAAACCACCAGAAAGCAATGGTGAGCTCAACAGCTCAGCAAAGCAACAAACCACCAATCTAAATTCTCAGAAAACAGAACCAAATTCATCGGACAGAAATCAGATCAGAAATCGGAACAGAATCGGAAATCAAAACTTACGGACAGATATCAAATCACATCAGAGTCGTACAGATCGTATCAGAACAGAACAAATCAACAGAGTCAGAATCAGAAATCAGAATCGTACGGATCATATCATATCATAATCACAATTTCGTACAGAACAGAACAGATACAGAAAATAGTACAGATACATATAGCTAAATGCCCTGACACTGACGGAATCTCTATGGATTCCGGCCCCTTATGCCTCCCTTCCCAGACACTGACTGAATCTCATAGGATCCAGGCCCCTTATGTCTCCCTTTGTGCTCACGGCACCAAAACAGATGTGCTTATAGCACCAAAACAGAATTCATCGGATCCGGAACAGAACAGACATCAGATTTGATCTCATTGCAGATTTCCCGTTTCACTAACTGAATCTCATAGGATTCAGGCCCCTTATAACTCCCTTTTTATAGCTTATACACATAGCATTTCAATTCAGAAGAAATACGGACAATTCAGAAATTACCCAAAAAAAATCGGGCAGCACAACGGCAGTATACGGAATTTACACAAAAATTCCTGCAAAGAAAATTTACCGAATTCGCACAGAATACAGATATCAACATTTCAGAACATTTATTCTACTGCACAGATAAATTCCAATTTCACAGAAAAATCTGGTCGACTAAAAACACAGTCGAATCAAAAATACCCGGACGAAAATCTTCAAAATATAGTCAAAACGTGCACACCCGGCACGGCAACGATATCCAAAAAGTTACGCGGTAAAAACTGAGTCAATCAACAGATACGGACAAAAATCATTAACGAAAACGAAATCCGGACAGAATATACCGCCAAACACGACGGTTCTGAAAATTGAGAAAGGCGGAATGTGCCTTACCTCGAGCACAACAATTTCCTCAACAGCCACTTCGGGCGAAAACGGCTCCGCGTCGTCCGAAAATCAACTTTTCCACTTTTTCCTTCGTTTTTCTCTCTCCTCAGCTTTTTCTCTCTCTTCAAAATATCTCATTGCTATATATATCCAGACTGATCGTCCTGGACGATCGAGCTTCGTACCGGACGATCCATGAAGAGAGGAATTCCGTCCAGACGAAAAATGACATATCGTCCCTGGCGAAGGGTTCACGGGAGAATTTTCGTCCAGACGATCCTGATTTCGTCCAGACGAACCATACAGCCAAAACTGATTTTCTGCACAACCTGTACCGATCGTCCCGGACGATCCAACTTCGTCCCGGACGAACCTGGAGCAAAAACTGATATTACAATCTCCCCAACTTAAAAAAAAATGTCGTCCTCGACATTATCCAATCCAACCTCCGTCAAAACAAGTACGGGTACGACCGTCTCATATCAGACAAATTAAAAGCCATTGCTGGAGAGATTGTTAAAAAGCTTTCAGGATCTCCATTAATTAGCCGCAAAGGTTATCGGTGGTGTTTTGAATTCTAGCTTGGAAGAAAGACATTGGAAAAAAGTTTTAAATAGTGATTTTATAAGTCCAAAATCAGGTCAAGATGACATCTTTCTCATTTTAAGATTGAGCTATACGTTCCTCCCAAAACATCTACAAAATTGTTTCGCATTTTGTTCTATATTTCAACAAGATTATAGGTTTGATAAAGATGATTTAGTCCAAATGTGGATTGCATTGGGTTTCATTCAGCAACCTCATGATCAAGAATGGACTATAGAGGATATTGGAGGAAGCTATTTTGATGAATTGGTTAAAAAATCTTTCTTTGATAAGTTTGAATGTTTTGGAGGATGCTACTACAAGATGCATGATTTAATACATGCATTGGCACAATCAATTTCCATGCATGAATGTTTAAGAGTTGAGGATGGTACAAAGTTGCCTTCTATAATTCCTAAGACACTTCGACACTTGTTTGTTAAAACTACAAATCTAGACTTCATAAAAAAGATTGGGCAGGTTAAATATTTGCATTCTCTTTTCTTGATGCTAAAAGCTTTAAATCAGGATATTTCTAGTGCACTTATTGAAATTTTCAAAGAATCGAGAAGCCTACGCTTATTACACGTATTTGTTCCAGCCTTGGAAATGATACCTGAAGAGATTGGGAATTTGATACATCTTCGATATTTGAGCTTTTTCAATAAGAAGTTTACTATGCTGCCAAGATCTCTAAGTACTCTCTATCACTTGAAATACTTAAAGAGTAACATAGTGGAAAAAAAAACCCAAGTGGAAATAAACCAATGTAAAGTTGATTTTTTACCTCGTGACATAAATAATCTTTCTAACTTGCGTTACTTGATGTTGCCCCAGTATTATATTTCATTGATATGTGGGATTGGGAAGCTAAAGTTTCTTCAAGAATTGAATATTGATCTTAGAGATGTGAGTGGGTATAGAATTAAAGAGCTGGAGAATATGAATGATCTTTGCGAATTAAGAATCAATTGCCTTGAAAATGTTAAGAATGCAGAGGAGGCTTGTAGTGCCAAATTACGTGCCAAGACAAGGCTCACAGATCTAACCTTATGTTGGAGAAACACTGATTCGAGGAACATCAATTTAGATGAGAATGTGCTCGACAACCTTCAACCACCAACATGTCTAAGGAATCTGAGCATAAACGGATACATGGGTGTAAGGTCTGCAATATGGATGAACGTGCTCGACAATCTAGAGAAAATCGAATTGTCAGATTTCTTGGAGTGTGAATCTCTTCCACCTTTTGGGCAACTTCCCTTCCTCAAGTCACTGGAACTTCGGAACATGCCGAAAGTAAAATGGTTCGAAAGTAAATTTAATGGGAATGATAAATACCTTGCCTTTCCATCGCTAGAGGAGTTGCATATTGACGGATTAGAAGCATTAGAGGATTGGTTTGAGGCAGGAGTAGCTGCTGAAGATGGATGTTTGTTTCCTTGCTTAATTAAACTGAAGCTAGAAAACTGCCCGAAGTTGAAAGAGTTGCCTTCTTTGCCTTCTAAGCTCAAAAGCTTGCAGATACGATCTACGGCGTGGAAGACTTTGAATTTTTGTAGCAATTCAAATCCTATTCCCCTTGAAACATTATGGGTCCAGCACTGTCCAAACATTACATCTCTTCCTCTGGCTGATGAAATAGTAAGACTTGCAGCACTAAGAGACTTGAAAATTACAAAGTGCCCCAATGTGATCTCTCTCGGAAGATATCGAGAAGTGGATACCACTAATAATTGCCATCTCATGCTCAGCAATCTCAGTATAAATGATCCGTCGATGTTGCTAATGGAGCCATTGAGAAGTATCGCCTCCTTAAAAAGTCTGAGGATTGAGGATAATGATGAGGTGGTTTCCTTTCCAAATGAGGCGGAGCAGTGGTTTCTGAAAGTTAGCTCTTCTCTTTCTGTTCTGGACTTTAAGCGTCTCGCGTCCTTAGATTCTCTCCCTTCCGTCTTGGAAAGCTCATCTTCACTTCATGTTCTATATATTGGGAACGTTCCTATGCTTCGGGAATTACCGAACCTTCCTCCCTCTTTGAAACGTCTAGAAATTGAGAGATGTCATCCAGAGTTAAAGGAGCGCTATGGAGAGGATGGAGGCTCCGATCGGCACAAGATTGCTCACATTCCGAGTATCCATATTCAGTAAAGTTTTAAGGCCTAAATAACACTTGCACACATTTTACGGTAGCAGCTGCTTACATACATACAAAGGTAAGCGCATGACAAAGTTTTTATGTCCTTGAAACCTTGTGAACCGTACTGTGTGATTGTTTCCTTTTCAAATGAGTCGGAGAAGTGGTTTCTGAAAGTTAGGTCTTCTCTTTCTCAGCAGGTATTTTGGAGGGCTCAAATCCTTACAGTATCTGCCTTCCTCCTTGGAAAGCTTATCTTCACTTCAGATTCTATCTATTTATGTTGTTCCTATGCTTCTGGAATATGTTTGCTTGAGTTGGATTTTGCTCTTTAAGCGGTGGCTGGTATCATTGTCTGCTGGCAAATTTTTTTTGTGTTCTTTGCATTCACGGCTTTTCATTCATGTAGTGTATACTCTCTGTTGCTTAAACCCTCCATGTGAAGGAATTGCTCTTTACTTGCAAAAAAAGATCAAGTTTTCATTTCTTCATCTTATTGTTTGGTCATTTCCATTGTTTTGAGCCACTTAAATGATATTCATAGTTTGGTTTTAATCTGATGAATAGTTTTCTTCTGACTTCTAAGTTTATTTAAAAAATTTACTTGAGTTGATGGTTTTGTTATGCTTTATAATTTTCCTCTAGGTGATTTCTGTTGCATGTCGAACTCTAATGTCGTGTTTTTTTTCTCAGATTTTCTACAACTTTTAATGAGTTATTCGAATTCATCCGTCGCCAAAATTAGGCCGCAACATACCTATGTTTACTGCCATTGTCATCTCAAATGTGTCTTGTATACTTGCCACCGGGGACCTAACAGTGGAAGGCAGTTTTATAGATGCATTTATAATATAATCAAAGTGAAGATAATTGTAGTTTCTTTAAATGGGTGAATGAGCAAGAAGAGCTATCTTATGTCACACATTATGAATTTAAGGCATCTGATCGAAGGAATGCTGAGAAACTTGACTTGATTCTGCTTACTATGAAAGTTTTTGTAGTGATGGTTTTTATCGACATTACAATCCGAGTTTATTTTCTACAACTTTTAATGAGTTCTTCGAATTCATCCGTCGCAAAAATTAGGCTGCAACATACCTATGTTTACTGCCATTGTCATCTCAAATGTGTCTTGTATACTTGCCACTGAGGACCTAACAGTGGAAGGCAGTTTTATAGCTGCATTTATAATATAATCAAAGTGAGGATGATTGCAATTTCTTTAAATGGGTGGATGAGCAAGAAGAGCTATCTTATGTCACACATTATGAATTTAAGGCATCTGACCGAAGGACTGCTGAGAAGCTTGACTTGATTCTCCTTACGATGAAAGTTTTTATAGTGATAATATTTATCGACATTACAATTCGAGTTTATTTTGGCTAGCTATGTTGTATCTTAACTATCTTTATGTCATGTTTCGTAGCGTTATGTAGTACCTTAAGTGTTTCTGTGGAATGCGAACGAAAATGTAATGTTGCTTGAAGAAATTATGTATTTTCTACTTATGTTGTATGAAAAGAGATGATGAATTTTCAATTTTTTTGTGGAATGAACAAAAATTTGGTATTCACTCTTTTGTTGGAATGTAAAGTTGTGATTTAAATGTTGGCTTAAGTTGGTTAAACTGCTATACTTATTGTCTAAATATGAAATTAGTGCAGATTTTTAAAAGCAGAAAATACATTCACAATAAGGGCAAGAGCATTCTTTCCAAACTAATATGAAATTAGTGCAGATTTTTAAAAAGCATAAAAAATATTCATAATAAGGGCTAGAGCTTTCTTCCCAAATTATATGAAATTAGTGCAGATTTTTAAAACCATAAAATACATTCACAATAAGTGAGAGCTTTCTCCCTACAGAAAATACTTTAAATAGCATCGTTACCTGCCGGAGTCTCGCGAAGAAGTTCGCGGCAATTTGCAAGCAGACGTCCGCACGAAGGAGTTGGCGACAAGGTTTCTTCCTGAGTTAAAACACACTGACACAGCTCTCACGACAAGTTGCGTGCGAATGGGGGGTATTCGGCGGGAAGAAAGACGTCGTCAAGTATGAGTGGTAAAAATGAGGTAAATTAAGTATTTGAGTGGTATAAATGTAATATTAGTATTTGAGGAATTAGATATGTAAAATAACAATAATATAGTGGTATGTATGTAAATTTCTCATTTTATTTATGTATGACTTGGTGATCCCTTTATATATAAATATTTTCTTCTTTCTGAAATCTAAATAGTTCATTTTAATTTCTTATTGATTATTCTAAATGAAACAATTATTGAATTATTATTTAATTTTGATTTTATGTTTTTGAGATTGCAAAAACAAAATAAATTTTAATGATCAGTCATCTTTAATCTACGAATTTTATTTCTTTTTGCACTTTCATCAACTTTCACATTAGTTTTGTTTATGGATTTATTTATTTTTTGGGACATGCTAACTTCTTATCTGGAAGAAGTGGAAGTGGAAGTCGAAGCAACAGCTCTCATCTGGAAGAAAAATTTTATTGTCATTGCACCAATAGCTATAATTTGAACTCATTAATTTGATGAGATAAAAAAAGGAAAACTAATCTTTAATGCACAAATTCTCTATCCTGCATTACTGCTCTTGATTCTTGCTTTACAAGAGTTAAATTAAAATGAGAAGATTAAGGTTTTGTTTGGGACAACTTTCTTACTGCTTCTTAAACCGGCTTCCTAGTATAAAAATTAAAATTTTTATAATAAAAATTTGTTTTAAGAAGTAATAAAAACTTCATTAAAAATCATCCAAATGAAAACATCATTACAATTTATTAACAGATTTACCATTAACAAATGAAAAGATTTTGAGCTCGCAATTTTAAATATTTCTCCTTGTAAATTTATCATCAACAATTTTTTGAAAAAACACCATCGTGATATTATTTCATTATTGCATTTGTAGTTAACAATTTTTTTTTCTTTTCAAGTGACTGATTAAGTCAATAATTCGATCCAATAACACACCAACTGATTCTCTAAATTTCTTTAAAGCGTCTAATTATTTGAGAACAAGACTGCAAACGAGTCGAGTCAAATTGAAGTCATACCTAATTCAAACTTTACTCAAGCAGTCAAACATAAGTTTGCTATTGTAAGATCTCATAAATAGTTTAGGGAAGATACTAATCGTTTGGCCAATCTTGTCGCCAGCCCTATTGCTTCTCCTTGTGTTCATGTGGATCTTGAATATGGGGCCTGTGAGAGCCCTTTGGTTGGTGTGTTGTCTGATGTAAATTTTTTTAGTAGGGGACATGGAGAAGTAGAACACGAAGGTTCGAAGGATGATTTTCTTGGTATTTTTCGGGTTTTGCTAACACTTTAATTATCCAAAGAGTTCTTTTCAACTATAATTAGGGTTGAGAGCTCAGCTTGAAGATCGTAAATCAGTTCAAATCAAGTGAGCAGAAAGTAAGGATCGGACTTTATTTCAAGTCATTGGTGGAATGACTAAGGGTTTGTTTGGGACAGTTTTCTTAATGCTTTCTAAAATAATGTTTTAGTTAAAAAGATTTCTTGAATTAGAATTTTTTGTACTAAAAAGCTATTTTAGAAAGCAATGAGAAAGCTATTACAAACGTAGCCTGACTTTATTTATAATATATTTCTCGTTCTTATTAATATTTAGATAAAATTAATGTTATAAAAGGGATTGCTTTAAAAGGGCTCACTTACCGTTCTTCGGTGTTTGGTTCTCTACTTCTCGGGAAATTATTGGGTAAGGTCACCGGACACAGCTACGTTCGGTATTCACAGTACTGAGCAGTATTGAGCTCGGTACTGTGAAGTACTGAGTATTAGAGCAGCACTGACCTCGGTACTGAGCAGTACCGAGTAAGAGGTGATGTGGCGCATTTTTATTGGGCTCCGAACACCTCCGATGACTTGACCCAATAATTTCCCCTACTCTCCATCCCTCTTTTCCGAAAAATTATTGCGTCCTCCCACCTGACGTAGAGATGCGTCCTCCCAGAGCTAAAATCGCACTAAAAACGAGAAATACCAAACAAATACCGAGCAATACCAAACAATCATGAGGAATATCATCATGTGAAGACCAATACCGAGTTATACAGAGCTATACCGAGCAATACAAAAAATACCTAGTTTTTCCTAGAAAAAACTCGATATGTTTTTGTATTGCTAGGTATAGCTCGGTATAACTCGGTATTGGTCTTCACATGATGATATTCCTCGTTATTATCAAATAATACTTAGCAATACCGAGCAAAAACCGAGTTTTTTGACGGTACGTCAGGTGGGAGGACGCAATAATTTTTCCTCTTTTCCACCCTGGCCATGACTGCAGAGAATCTAACCCATACTGAGATCTACTCCCCATACACCGCCTTTTTTTGGCAGCTAGTCATATGCCAAAGTTGCAAAGCTGATCTCTTTACGAAGGCCTCCTCTTTGCCTTTATTGACATAAATAATGAAGGGACAGCGTTCTTTAGATCAATTCAAAAAATCTCAATTAGGCTATTAATGACATTCTATGGATTTTGGTCATTGGGTAGGATTTACTTTTATAAAATCGTTCAAACTGAAATTTAAATTATATTAATTTTCTTAGATATTAGATTAATAAAATTATATAAATAAATTAGTGACAGATGTTAATATGGATACTGTTTATTTCATACATCAAACATATAATTTTCTTAAAGATATTTTTTATTCTTCTTAATACATATTATTTAATCTAAAAATAATTAAGCAATGATGTTAGCCAATTTTTTTGGTTGATGGTAGATTGATGTTGATTTTATAATATTTTTGTGACATCAAAAGAGATGCTCGTAAGTGTGCCATGAAATTTTGGTTTCATTTGGGATAGTTTTTTTGCTGCTTTTTAAAGCAGATTTTTTGTATAAAAAATTTTGAACTAGAATTTTTTGCACTAGAAAATAACAAGAAAGTTGTCCCAAATGAAGCTTTTGTTTCACTCTTTCGTGATTGAACCGTTGAGAATAAAATGCATATGTAGAAAAAATTTATTTAAATTGTGTGTATTAGGGCTTTGTTTCAATGTCTTGTAGAGTTAATAAACATTTACAGTTTTTCTACAACTCCTTTTTGACTAATAAACTTGGAGCTCGCTCAATGAAAATGAGCTAGTCATCGTAATTTTTGAGATAGACTGGATCAAAAGGCTCTATTCAAGCTAGCACATTTCCTTTGTTTTTACTTAATTTCAAATATTATACTTTTTTATTTTAGATTTTTATGCATTGTTTATGAAAGTTCTCTAATGTGTAAATGTTGTAAGAAATTAATGGGATGGGAGCTTTGGTTGTGTTAATTGCTTTCAAAACATGGAAGTCCCATTCTATTTGGGGGTGGATGGTCACTATGCATGGCTTAGAGATAGACAAACAAAGAAGTTATGGCCATGTAAAATGTATCAATTATAATTACATAAGCTGTACTCAATATAATGATTTCAACTATCTCTGACTCTGAAGGCTTTGTCATATTTTTGATCTAAACTACAGAATTAACAAAGCAAATAGGTTACTTTGTCTTAGCGGCCTGTGATAGTTGAAACAGAAAGGTCATTGGAAGCATTTACAATTAAGTTTAATGGCCATTCAGATTCTGAAGCATTTTTCTTTGTAAAAAATGCAGGTTGCTTAACGGGGTTGAAGTGTAAACTTACATTGCTAAGCATGGTGACAGTATCAGTCATATTAGGGCGATCGTCTGGGCTCTCTTGTACACACAGAAGCGCCACGTAGATGCATCTTGCCACCTCATCATGTCGAAATTTGTTATCTAATGCAGGATCCACAAAGTCCATCCAAGTTCCTTCTTTCCATAAATCCCAAGCCTAAATTAAGCAACATTATTTTAATTTTCATAATCTCTTTTAGATTTCAAGATAATTGCTCAAAAGAAGAAGAAAAAGGAAAGAGAAAAGATATTCACTCACATACGCAAGAAGATTGTACCAAGAACCAATTTGACGAAAACCAGCACTTCTTTTCCCACTTACTATCTCAAGAAGCAGAACTCCGAAGCTGAATGCATCCGACTTAACAGAGAATAGACCCTCATAAGCGTATTCTGGAGACATATAGCCACTAAATATGTGGTAAAATAAAACTAATTACCATCCAAAGCATTCAATTGAAGTCCTATTTTGACACCCGGGTTTCGGGTCGAGTTCAGGTATAACCCGAAACTGATCGGTTCAAACGGGATGGCTCTAACCGGACTTGGTTATGTAAACAGGTCAAAAATCCGGATCCGGACGGACCCGTCATGTTACTGGGTTGACTTGACCCGACACAGTTAACCTGAGGACGGCGACGGCGGACGACAGACGGTGGGCGGGCACTGACGCGAGAGCCGGCGGGCATGCTCGAGCACGCGCGCGGTCAGGTCATTTTGACCCGAAACTCCGACGGGTCAACCCGAACCCGATCGTTCTGAAATCAGGTCGGATCTAACCCAAAATTTTTTAATCGGATTCAAGTCAGATTTTCGTGTCGTGTCAAATATTGACACCTCTAACGTGGAGTTAAAAAATATATTAAAGATGTTGATTTTGGTTTTGATACAGTGAAAAAAAAAAAAACATGTTTTAAATGTATGTTCCACTTACAAGCAACCAAATGAGACCAAATCAAAATTTGTTTTAAAAACAGAGGGATAAGTATTCATAAACTTACTAGGTGCCAACAATCCTTCGAGTCTTTGCTTGGCTTTCATTAGCATCAAAAATTCTTGCCAAGCCAAAATCTGAGATTTTAGGATTCATATCAGCATCCAAGAGAATGTTGCTTGCCTTTAAATCTCGATGAATGACTCTTAATCTAGAGTGCTTATGAAGATAAATAAGCCCCTGAGCTATTCCTTCAATTATTTGGAAACGTTTTGTCCAATCTAATTTCACTCCCTGTTCAACATCTGAAGAAAATAGAACATAATTAGCATTTCCAGTAAAACAATACGAGAATTATATATTTTGATTTCTAGACAAGATTTATGATTTATTCCTTCATAACTTGATGTGAACTTACCGAAAAGAAAGACATCCAAACTCTTATTAGGCATGAACTCATATATCAGCATCTTCTCTTCGCCATGAATACAACATCCTAATAACCTTACTAAATTCCTATGTTGAAGTTTAGCAATTAATAAAATTTCATTCTTGAACTCCTCGAATCCTTGCCCTGATCTTGTAGACAGCCTTTTGATCGCTACATTTTGTCCCTCTAGTAATTTTCCCTAAAATTATATCAAATATAAGAGCATTTGCACATTACATATCAATATCACAATGCACTGAAGAGTTTCACATAGCATTGAAAAAGTTTATAAAGATGTTACCTTATAAACAGGTCCAAAACCACCTTCTCCAAGCTTGTTAATATCTGAAAAGTTGTTTGTAGCACTCACTACCTGAGCAAATTTAAAGAATGATATTTCTGAATTCCCTTCTTTATTGGCATCATGCATAATTTCATGACCCCAATTTACAGAGGAAACTGATTGTTCCTCTTCTTCTTAGAATTAAGAAAAAAAAAAGTTTAGTTTTTTTTATATGTATATATATAGTATAATCAAAGTATATTAAGAATATTTCAAAAACTTACTTCTGCGTTTCCATCTCCTTATCACAAGTATCAAAAATATTAGAATTTGACTTGTCATAATTAAAGGTTTGATTTTATCTCATTCTACCTAAAAATCTTATAGTAGCTACACATAAATATTTGCTTTAAGAACTCCATTAAGAATGCCGACATAACATATAGTTGATAGATAGATTTTTCCCTTCACTTATTTCTTCTTCATGAAAATCAATATTTAATTGGCTTATACTTCATCAATTTAACTTGATTTTATAAATCTCAATACTTCAATCGCTTTGTCTTTGTCATGAAGATGATCAACCAAACGTCGCCTGTTCTACTCACACAATATAGGATTTGTTTGCGACAGTTTTGTAAATTAACTTTTTATTTCAAAATTTTTTTGAACTAAAAATTTGTGTGCTATAAAACTACTTTAATAAGCAGTATGAATGAATTTTTTTGAGGAAGTTGAATCTTCTTGGATGAGAGAGGGGGAGGGGGAAGAGAGGAAGAGAGAGCTAGCGGGAAATTTTCTTTATTCCTCTTCCATGAGCTTCCAATCTCCATTGCAACCCC